CATTTCCTCGACGGCGAACATCTAAACACCAACTTCCTCGACGAAGAACATGTAAACAACACTTAGACACCCACTTCTTCGATGACGAGTTTCCTCGACGGCGAACACTTAGACACTCATTTCCTCAATAGCGAACACCTAGACACCCACTTTCTCGACGGCGAACATGTAGACAACACCTATACACCCATTTCCTCGACGGCGAACACCTAGACACTTATTTCCTCAATAGCGAACACCTAGACACCCATTTCCCCGACGGCGAACACCTAGACACTCACTTCCTCGACAGCGAACATGTAGACACCAACTTCCTCGACGGCGAACACCTAGACACCCATTTCCTCAATAGCGAACACCTAGACACCCACTTTCTCGACGGCGAACATGTAGACAACACCTAAACACCCACTTCCTCGATGGCGAATACCTAGACACTCATTTCCTCGACGGCGAACATCTAGACATCAACTTCCTCGACGACGAACATGTAGACAACACCTACACACCAACTTCTTCAACGGCGAACACCTAGACACTCATTTCCTCGAAGGCGAACATCTAGACACCAACTTCCTCGACGACGAACATGTAGACACTCACTTCCTCGACGGCGATCACCTAGACATCCATTTTCTCGACGGCGAATACCTAGACACCCACTTCTTCGACGGCAAACATCTAGATTTTTAATTCCTCAACGACGAACACCTAGACGCTTAATTCCTCGACGGTGAATATCTAGACATCCTCTTCCTCGACGCGGTAAATATAATACCTAGATCTTCAACGACAATCTCAATATATTTCATTTCAATTTTAAAGTGCCATCACTAATTATCACAGCCGTCATGTGTGGTTGATCACGTTCGAATGTGCAATGCTGCCATCGCTTGGTTAAGTCAAAAGCCATCTATTATCAAAAAAACGAGACGTACATTTTTCCTGGTCGACGACAATAATAATAATAACGACGTATCTGAATCTGAATGTGAAAAGTGACAGATCCGGACTTCGCGTCGCAATATCTCCGCTCGTAAGGCACATAGAAAAAAAATAAAAGCACTTTTATTATACAATCCGTGCGGTGGCTATCAATTAAGCGTACATAGAACGCGATCGGTTCAGCCGTTATTGAGATCCGATAATCTCGATCCAGCGCAACTCGTCGGTTCGCGTAAAGGAGGCACAGCAGTGTTGCTGCGCTTGGCTTAGCGCCGAGACACTACCGTGTCTCCAGATAACTCTGTAAAGTTTTTTTACTATTGTGAAAAAGCTGCGGAATGGCGTTATAACGATAACGATAACGAAACTTGTTAAGAGTAACAGAATAGTCCTGTAGCACTGTTTTTGTAAGAACGATGTGGTAATGACGTAACAATATTGTGTTCATGATGGTAGCAATAATAAATGATTGGGATAATCGATTTTTAAAAAAGAAGTCTGTACCATTATACGTTAATTTTGAAAAGTGATCTTCGCAACGTCGAGACTACCGGTTCTGTCATTTCTGTCATAGAAAATTGCAACGTCACCATCCTCCAAAAAAGGTCATCAGAAAATCATAGAAGTAGTGCCCTATGAGGGAGGCGTTTAAAGATCACAAGCCCCTGGGCGCAAATTTTGTTAACGCGGCTCTGTATACATGAGGTAAACAAAAATGACAAGTCGGCCAATGAAGATGACAAAGAAGATCTATATCTAGGTGGCGTGCGAGCAATAGACAAGTCCATGAAGAAAGGAAAAGGACAAGAGGATATACAGATCTCGAGAGTGGGGGCGGAAACGATATATGTTGAACCACCATGGATGGCTGAAGTAAATGTGAATGGAGCAAGCATACCATTCAAAGTGGATATCGGTGCAGATGTCACGGTAATAAGCGAAGAGCTCTATGCAAAACATTTTCCTGATGTATTGTTAGAAAGCACAGGAAGAGGACTACGAGTAGGAGATTCTATACCTCTCAAGATACTAGAGAAGATACAAACAAAAATGGAATGGCGCAAGAGAGTGGCTACGGACATCATATATGTGGTGAAGAAAGGTATGCAGCCATTGTTAGGTAGGCCGGCGATCAAGATATTAGATATGTTAAAATGGATAATAGATACCGTCATTGCAGAAGTAAGTAATATCAAGCCAGAAGATGAATTCAGTAAAGTATTTCAAGGGTTAGGTTGTTATAAAAAGTGCCATATCATGTTTGTCTTAAATCGAATTTTCAGCTCAACATAGAGTTCCATTACATCTCACGCAACGAGTTAAGGAGGAATTACAACGACTGGAAGAGATGGGAGTTATCAGCCGAGTGGTTGAGCCAACTTCATGGTGTGCACCGATGGTTGCGGTTCTCAAGGCAAATAAAAAAGACGTCAGAATCTGTATAGACTACACAGAACTCAACAAGGGCGTCGTGAGGAGCCGTCACATCATGCCGAGTATTGAAGAAAATCTAGTCCAGCTAGGAGGAGCTCGTTGGTTTTCTCTTTTGGATGCAAACAAGAGGTATCATCAAATGTCAATATGTCATTGTTGTCGACTTCTCACCACATTTATTACGCCGTGCGGGCGTTTCTGTTTCAACAGACTGCCCATGGGTCTATGTCCAAGTACAGAGCATTTCCAAGAAAACATGTCCAATGTATGGGTAGATCCATATATTCGTTCGGTTTTTGTTAGTAGTGCAAATTTTTTCCGAATATCTCCGGTTCTGGTTGCCTAATCGGGCAATCCAAATATGTTTTGGAAAGGTGACAGTCCGCTCTTTTCATCTGTCAAATTTGGTTTCATTGGCATTAGTTTTGTTTGTGCTACAGGCCTGTGAACATGTCGGAGAATAAGGTGCATTTTCGGCACATTTTGCTTTATTACTTCAAGAAAGGCAAGCGAGCTGCGGAGGCCCACCGAAAGATATGCGGCGTATACGGGGACGATGCCATAACAGAACGTGCCGCTCAGAAATGGTTTGCCAAATTTCGTTCCGGAGATACGAGTCTTGAAGATGGACCCCGCAGCGGACGGCCCACCGAGGTTGATTCGAATGATATAACACGAATAGCACTGGTTGAGCAAGACCGGACGCTAAAGGTGCGAGAGATTGCGGAGACACTTAAAATAGGTTATGGAACCGTACAAAGGCATTTGAAACAGCTTGGCTACGTGTCCCGCCTCGATGTTTGGGTGCCGCACAAGCTGACCGAGGAGAATCTGGCCAACCGCATATCCATCTGCAATTCACTTCTGAAGCGGCACGAAAGCGACCCGTTTCTCAAACGAATAGTGACTGGCGACGAAAAGTGGATCATCTACAACAACATAGTGCGCAAGAGATCGTGGGGAACCGCTGGCGAGCCGCCGAATGCCACCCCGAAGGCCGGCCTGCATCCGAAGAAGATTTTGCTATCCATATGGTGGGATCATCGTGGTGTGCTGTTTTACGAGCTGCTTCCTCAGGGAAAAACGATCGATTCGAAAGTCTACTACACGCAGCTAACGAAATTGAATCAAGCATTGCGACAGAAACGTCCAGAACTGGCCAATCGCAAAGGTGTCATATTCCACCATAACAACGCCAGACCCCACACCGCAATAATCACTCAGCAAAAATTAGTGCAACTTGGCTGGGATGTTTTGCCTCACCCACCGTATTCACCAGACCTTGCGCCATCCAACTACCACTTGTTCCGGTCCCTGCAAAACTCCCTCAACGGGAAATCGTTCGCTGATCAGACAGCTGTGAAAACGTACCTCGACCGGTTTTTCGCCTCTAAGCCCCAGACCTTCTATGAGAGCGGAATAATGAAATTGTTGGAAAGATGGCAAGAGGTCATCAACAAAAACGGAGAATATATCATTGATTAAAATTCATCCTTTGTATGAAAAAAACTTGTTTCATTTTAGCCTTCAAAAACCGAACGAATATATGATCCATCCATATTAAGTGGACTTCAAAATGTAGTAAACCTCTCCGATATCCTAATTTATGGAAAAATTCTCGAAGAGCATAATGAATGTCTTCGAACAACATTACGACGCCTATCAGACGCTGGAATTACACTAATTGTAAGCAGAGAGAAATGCGTCATAAGACAAAGGCGCGTAAAATTCTTAGGATACGTAGTATCAGCAGAACATGGAGTAGAACCTGACCCGGAGAAGATAAAAGCCATTGTTGAGATGTCGGGGCCAACCAACGCTACTGAGGTCAAAAGATTACTAGGAATGGTACACTTCCAGTTAAAGTTCATAGAACACCTCGCTGACATTACCAGACCTCTACATGAATTAATGAAGAATGGCGTTGAATTCATATGGGAAACACCCCAGGAAGAAGCCTTCAATGAAATTAAGAGAAGATTGATACAAGCTCCAGCCCTGGCTCTCTTTAACACAGAATAGCAAACACGAGTTTCAGCAGATTCATCGTCATATGGACTGGGGGCAGTCCTAGAACAATATGATAAGAATCAGGAGTGCTGGAAACCAGTTTATTATGCATCAAGGGCCCTTAGCGAGACTGAGAAGAGATATGCTCAAATCGAAAAAGAGGCATTGACATGAGCTTGTGAGAAATTTACAACATTCATTGAGGGAGCTCCGGATCTTATCCTGAGGACAGATCACAAGCCGTTGATTTCAATTTTGGGATCCAAACCCATAAGTGATCTCTCTCCGAGATTGCAACGATTTCGCATGAGACTAATGCGGTTTATATATATTGCATATATTATATGAATATATTGCAGGAAAGACGCTGGTGACGGCAGATACACTATCATGTGCACCTGTATCAGATGTCGTAGATGTCTGTGATGCATACATGAAGAAGACGCGAAAAAATACGTACATGCCGTGATGAAAAGAAGAGCATCCGACCCGTTTTTAAATAAAATATACGAAACGCACACACAACACAACAACAAAATCCAACGACGCAAGAAGTTCTAAAGCATGTCAAGGAAGGATGGCCTCGGTATCGGAAGGATGTATCACAGAAGATGAAACCGTATTATGAGGTGAGAGGCATCTTAACGACGACAGGGGATGGCATCTTATTATGTGGTACCAGAATTCACATACCGAAAGGTTTGCGAGAAGAGGTATCGAAACGGATACACCAAGGTCACTTAGATGAGAAGAAATGCCTAGGACGAGCCAGGCAGGCCATATGGTGGCCAGATGTCAGCACAGATGTGAAAGCAAAATATTCCAATTGCAACACGTGTTTGGAATACCGACCACAGATTAGAGAACCGCTGATAGCAGTAGAACCTCCCAAGCGACCATGGCAGGAAGTGGCGGTTGATTTTTGTGACAGAGATGGAAGACAATATCTGGTGTTGGTGGATTTTTCTCGTTATCCAGAGGTTGTTCATATGACATCGACCACGACGATCAATATCATTGCAAAGATGAAGGACATTTTTTGGAGACATGGAATCCCGGAGCGAATATGCTCAGACAATGGCCCATAGTTTAGCAGTCAGGAATACAAGGATTTTGCTAAAAATTTCGGATTTACCAATGTTACGAGCAGTCCGAGATATCCAGTCCAGAATAATGGAAAAGTAGAGGCTGCAGTGAAGACTGTCAAGCGCATCTTAAAGAAGGAGACTGAGCCCACATTAGGTCTGTTAGCATATCGTACTTCACCCTTAGAAACGGGCAGTAGTCCGTGTGAGTTGTTGATGGGCAGGAAGCTTAGAACTACAATACCAAGTTCAGATGTAGTGTTGGCTTCGGGATGATCTGATTTAGAAACACACAGACAACAAATAAGAGCAAGACAGTTAGGTAGCAAACGGCAATATGACAGACGACACCGTACACGAGAATTGCCTAAACTTAAGCCAGGTGAACTTGTATGGATACGAGACCAACGGACATATGGCACTGTGATGCGTCGCCGGAGCGAATCAAGGTCTTTCGATGTGCGATACCCAGGCGGTGTATTGAGGCGAAACAGAATCTTTCTGACGGCAGTGCGACGAGAGGTGGATGACGAGGACGATGACGAATATAACGATACAACATGGTTAGGTGGAGCTGAAGCACCAAAGGTGACGGATAGAGAGGCGGAATCAACCAGACAGCCGGAACATGAAGCAACAGGCAGCACCACTCACCGAAGAGACTACAATATCAAACATTAGGGACACCGTCATAAAAAAAAGGGAGAAATTATTGAAGCAGAGTTGTTTTCGAGTAAAGTTCAGTTTCTTTATAAGTGGCCTAGGATGATAAACTTACACATTTTGTTTAAATTTTCTTTTCATAGGCCTTAATTGTTGATTTAAATTTAATTAGAAATTATTTCAAATGCCGTCACAAGTATTTACTTTGATATATAAAAGGGAGGATGTGGCGCGAAGTTGAGAGCGTCAATGCAGATGGCGTGATGTAGGACGGTGGTGCGTATGACAGAGAGCATGTACTGTAGTAATAAGACATTCCCTCTTTGCTGGTTTAGTATCGAACATGATGTTTGTATACTATCAAGATTAAATATAATAAGTAACACAAAAGACTTGATTAATTGCGGTACTCTAAAGCACAACATATCGACTTTTGAGAATCCTCCCGGATAATCTGCTGTCTTGCTTGCTTAATTTGCTCAACTCCTTATACCTCTCCTCCTGGAACATTAGAAGCAATCCATCGTTCACCTCGTCCCTAAGCCTCATGGAACGGGTTTCCGTCCTATCTCCCTTAGTCCTGCGTACTTAAGATCTTGGAGCGCATGATTTTAAATAGATTATATTGGACTTCTGAATCACCTTCCTCTCCTATCCCAGCTCTATTTCTGAACAACCAATTCGGCTTTCGGAGGTTTAGATCTTGCCGGGACAATTTAACCATTCTCTCCGCGCACATCCACACAGCTTTCTTTCATAAGCATGACACTATCGCAGTTTTTATAGACATCAAGTCGGCCTTTGATAATGTGCTCCCCCACATTTTGATTCAGGATCTTGTTGATTTGGATTCCCCCCACTTTTCCTCAAATTCATAAATAATTTAATTGCGTCCCGTAATGTTCATTTTGTAATTGAGAGCTCTCTCTCTTCAGTATATACATCAAGAAAGGGTATCCCCCAGGAATCTGTTCTTAGCCCGACACTGTTTAACATTTATCTTAGAGAAATTAACAACTGCTTAGACCCGGATACATCCCTTCCGCAGTTTGCCGATGGTATCGTCATCTATACCCCTCACGCCAATTCTTTTATGGCTGTCCAATTTGTTGAACGCTTACTACTTAATATTCAATCCTTTCTGTCTCTTAGAGGTCTGGAAATTTCACCTAACAAGACGCAGATGTTGCGCTTTTCTAAGAGAGAGAAGGTTGATTCCAAACCAGAATTTATCTATCACACTCGAGAGTGGAACCATCTCTCCTTCGCCATCTGTTAGATTCCTGGGGGTGGTGCTCGACCCTAGACCACAGTATAAGTATAACCAGTAGCGGCAAGGGAGTGGGGCAAGCGCCCCACTGACCGCCGCGAGCACAGTATAAATATAACCAGTAGCGGCACTCCGTAGAAATAAGTAGCACAGTATAAGTATAACCAGTAGCGGCACTCCGTAGAAATAGCGTCGGAGAAATTTCACCGCGCATGCGCTGCATTACTACCGACAACATGGCGTCAATTAAATAGTAAGTATAGCTGAGGTTATGTATATCAAAGGGAGCTTTCCAGAGTAATACAATTAGTACCAAATGGGGTAATACAATTAGAACCAACTCCGATTAACTTTAATCGATGATTGTCTGCTATTGAAAGATACTCTTGATATTTTAGCTTTAAATGTATTTAAAAATATACAAAATGAAACGTGTAATTGATGGTGGTTTTATGTGTGCAATGCGTGACTGTAACAATAATTCCGGAGCAGATCGTCATCTAAGCTTTTTTCGTTTTCCATCTGATTTAGAAAGGTAGTAATTTTTTGATAATTTTTTATACGTATGTAATGTATTATATATGTGTGTGTGTGTGTGTGTATGTGTGAGTGTGTGTAAACACAATAATTTTTAAAATTACACAATCATTTTTAAAATTACAATAATATATGTTTTAGAGCAAAATTGTGGCTACAAGCATGTGATATAAAGGAGAATATTCCACAAAAAAGACTGTATAATAATTACAGAGTTTGTTCAAAACATTTTGCTCCTCATATGTTCTTAAATGATTTAAAAAATCGACTTCAAATACATGCAGTTCCAAGTTCAGTTCTTAATATTACCAATGATGTAACAACTGATCAGAGTGAGTAATCAATAACAATTAATTTTCTTTCATAATTGAATATATTTTGAATATGTGTTACATATAGATATTTTTTAAATTATTCGACATATTTTTTATTATTATTATTTATTAAATAAAATAAATAGATAATATGGCTTAAATTTTATATCGAATGTTCTTTGTATTTATTTTAGGCTCGTTGCCCTTTATCTTATTTATATTTGAATTATTTATTAAATTATTTATAAAAACTTATTTTAGTAGACATTTCAACAGTAGACACTTCATGTTTTACAACAAATTTACAAGCAGATGTATACAGTGTTAAAGCCAGTTGTTCAACAACCAATTTGACAGGTAAAATATTTTTTAACAAAGAAGTTTGTTAATTTTGGATTTTATTTGATCTATTTTAAAGATTTTTCAATTTTTACTTATCATTTTAGATGTTGATTTAAGCACAGATTCAACTAAAGATTTTAATTTAACGAATTCTAAAGATGATAAAGCAACTCAAACCGAATTAAAATTATCCAGTTCTACTCCAAGAAAAGAAGCTCTCAGAAGAAAATGTGAAGCTGCAGATAAAAGAGCAAAACGCGCAAAACTAAAATATAATAATGAAAAAAATATAGACGATATTACTTATTACGATTTTCAAAAACTTCTTTATAAATTTTATCCAAAACCAATAGCTGATTTCATGAAAGCTCAAGGAAATAATCTCGACAAAAAAAGAAACGGTAATAGATATACCAAAGAATTTAAAATGTTTTGTTTGAATTTATATTTTAAAGGACCCAAAGCTTATAGAATTTTAAGTAACACTTTTATTTTACCATCGAAGAGAACACTTGAACGCATGATACAAGGACTTATAATTTCTCCTGGTTTAAATGATATTGTATTTGAAAGACTTCGTATTAAAATTGAAAATTTACGTCTGCTATAATTAAGATAAATATTGTTGCATTTCTATTGATA